CGCCGCTCCGCTCCGCGGGGACAGGAGCAGTGATCTATTGATGAAGTACAGTCGGTCCTCAGCGCCGGGAATTTTTAACTTAAACATCTCCTCTCTATCGATCAGCGAGTCCGTGGGAGATGAGGCTGAGATAAACAGGAGTGCGGGGCGCTCCCCCTGCACCGGCAGCGGCCGCCGGCAGCTGATGCGCCAGATCCCACCGCGCTGTTTAATGTTTCAGGGTTATGACCGCACTGTTTACAAGATGTCTTCGGTTATTTATACTGTTATTATTAGCAGAGGGGCTTTAAATTTCCGCCTCACTTGCTCTTTCAATACCGTCCCTCGGTTCCGTTTGATACCTGGGTACTTTCTTGCCGAAAGCAGGAGAGGGGCAGCAGGGGCTGCAGGGCCGTCCTCCGGACCAAGCCCTCCGTCCCCGTTAGTTACTGGGACCGGCGGCAGGGCCCGGGGCGCGGTCAGAGGCAGCGTGGGGGCCACCGACCCTCCCGGGGGCTCCCTCCCCCGGGTATCCCCCACAGGCCGGTGTTGAACTGCTCCGGGCATCCGTGCAGCCTGGATTGTGTTAATTCTCATCCCTCACTTTCCCCCGAGATGACTGGACGAGGTGGCGCGTCCTCCAGGTGACCCAAATTCACCGGTCGGGTTCATGCGTGGGCTAGGTTAGGTTTAATTAAAGCAGCTCGCTGTGAACTGAGAGCTGTGCAAACATCTCGGCCCTCATTATGAAAAGGGCCAGGACCTGCTGTATCATCCTAATGGTTGTGAAGGGGAGAGCTGTTTAATTTCACTTTTGCTCAGCTTTATCTCCATGCCACACAATTAAGAGCAGACCTCTGTGCCTGGCCTAACCACGTGCAATTTCACTGTTGTGGACAGGACTGCCCCAGGTGAGACATGCACTTACACACAGGGGCTTGACTGACTTTGCGGCCACACACAGACCCTGAGCAGCCGCAGCTTTTGCTGAAGAGACAAGCGGCTCTGGTAACCACAGCTGAACAGGCTGATTTGCTGATTTCTTTGGCACAGGAAATTCAGAGGGAATTGCTGGTCCGTAAAGGGAGGCAGAATAGAGGCCCCCGGCCATAAGCTGAGTGCAGGTGACTGATACAGCAAACGCACATTTTAATCTCTAAATTTACTCACTGAATTGAAACTAGCCATTGGATTTAACCACTCAAAATCCCAACTTAAATCCATACTAAATAACATCTGGTCAAGACAGCAAGATGCTGATTTCCTTCTAGAAAGCAGAAATTGATACGCATCTGAGATATGCATAAATTTGAGTTAAATTCTGTTAGAATACTCTAATATATGCTTCTTTGCAACCTTGTCTTGCAATTCTTGCTAACTGCACTCAGCATCCTCCCACCTAATTAACCATATGCAGTGTTCATTCACCACCTGAAATACAACATTGAAGAAAGGGAAGGGAGGAATACAATGGTACCTTGTGAAATGTGAGGAACACAACTATAACCATGTGCCAAAAGCTGCTGGAACAGTTGAAGATGCTTGCTGTGTACACACCGGCAGTAGACACCATTGCTTCTTGTACTGCTGTTTGCTTTATCTAGCAGTCTACATTGCAAGTCTCTTGGGGACTAAATTATTCCTCGAGCATCCTGCACCTTCCTCAGTCCTTGCCTCTGAGCAACAGTTCAGCAACAAAAAAACAAAAAGCAACAAGAAATAAACAAAAGCAACCAGCAGTACACAGAAAGGTAAATAATGACTTCACGCTGATTGTAAAACTATTAGTGGTTTTATATAAATTTTGAAGACAATGAACATATTTTCCAGAGGCATTTGTGTGGCTGGGAACTCCTGGTCCACTGACCTCTTGTGTTAAGGGCACAGACCAGACAGTAATGGCACAGTGCTGGCAGCTGGCTTCAACAGCCCAAGTTTCTTAGATGAATTAAGAGTTCTACTATGCACTTCAGGAGAACAATGAATGAAATTATTCTACCCTGCTGCTGAGTGCAATTTTACTGCAAAATATTTGCAAATAGAAAATGTATGTTTAGTCTGACTGAAGCAATTTATACTTTTGAAAGGAACTCGCAAACGTGCTAAGGAAAAGAGGGAACAGGTTTAAATATTGATGTCAATGACTTTAAAGAAAATATTTTGTTTGCTTTTTTGCTTTTCTGTACAAAGTGATGCATTTTAATATTTACCAAAATATACTTATACCCCTTTTTCATGTGGAAAAAAAGTTGACTTGGTTTATCTTTCTGTATCTACATGGATGTAGATGCAGCTGTGTGAGTGTCTGTATACATTCCCTCCTAGTAATGTTTGAACTCATTGCCTGATTTCAGCTAGATTTGACAGAGGTCTCAAAGATAAGTAAGTTACTACAATTTTTAATATTTTTGTGTGCGTGTGTGAAAACAGGCAGCCGAGTAAAGAAAAAGTCTATAAATTTTGCAACTGAAGGGTTTCAACATGAGTTCAGCCTTTATTGGATACGAGAGCATATAGAGCAGTGTGTCAGCTGTAGATGAAGCTCCAAATGCCGCTTCAGTCACAGGATACAAGTTCATAGAAAACTTGCTTATGGACCTACATGTTTTAAGATAAGAACTTTATAAAAGTAGTTTAGTTCCATTTGATTTTGATACTAGTATTTTTTGTTTCTTTGTTTCTTTGTAAAGAAACTAGTTTCAACCCAGCTACTTCATGACCACTTTCCAATTCAGCTAGAGACTAGCAAATCCTTTATTTGCAACGCTGACTCAGTGCTCAGGCTCCTGGGTTTGCTGCTGACATTGTGCTCCTTCGAAGAAGTTTTCACAGTCTGTAAGGTCTTAAACAAAATACCTTTTAGGCTTATCTTATCCTCTCACTGGGATGGAAATCTGCCAGCCTGGAGCATCGGCGTAGCAAGAAAGCCACTTTGCAGACACCTGCAAAATGCCGCGCTGTTCTGGGCGCTGACTGGGGCAGCAAGGCAACAGTGTTGGCCGTGCCCTCAAACTTCAAGGTGCATAAGGAGAACATGTGCAAGATAGCTTATTCTTTAAAGTGCCTCTGAAGTCAAAATTCCCAGCTCACCTCAGAAAATAAAAGACACAGAAAATCTGTGGGGTTTATTCTGTAGGGAAGCTGTTTTGAATCCTGGACATAATGATAAGATCACAAGCAGAGTTTTGCTTGATGTATTTGTATTTGTAACCCCTCAGTTGTGTCTGCCTGAAAAAAAACTTGCTTCCTTTTAACAAATCACATACATTTTTCAAAAGGCAATTTTTGCCAAAATTCTGTTATCATTTCCTCTCATTATAATTTGTAGTAAAAAAAATTAAATACACAAAATACATTATCTAATTGCAGATTATAAACTTTCTAAAACAGAAAAAAACCCTTACACATATCTAGTGTACAAGTGGAGGGTATAATCTGATAAAATTTCTGGGTATTTAAATTTTTGTCTGGATGTCTGAATGCAGATTAGCACTCACAGCCTCCCAAAATGACAGGATTACAAAAGAAATTTCAATTGCATTGACACAAATTTCAGTTTCAGTGAAATTGAAATTTTTAGCAGCAAACAACCAAGCATCCTGTAATTGCCATGTATATACACACCTGGAAAATCCTCCATACAGAATTTTTCCCAACAGTCAGATTCAAATTACTTGTGTTCATTGCTGGCCCATGTAGCATTGACTATTCCCATATTATGGCTGTGCTATCAAATGCAGGCCCACAGGGTAAATACCATCTTGTGCTCACTATTCAGCCACAGATTGCTTCATGCTCTTCAGCCCAGAATAGTTCATGGCTGGGAAGTGGCACAACCCGTAATAATGGCACTTTTTTGTCACTAGTGCTGCAAAACTACTGATGGCTTGAGGAATTTCTAAAATTCTGAGATGACATAGGTCTGACCTAAAAGTAATGCTCCAGGAAGGATGGGGTAAAGGCATGTGTTACCTTTGAGAGGACTGTTGCCAGCAGACTGCAAAACCAGCAAAGTTCTGCAAGTAACTGGTTTCACTTCAGACACTGGTGTCTCTGAGTACAAAACTGACTTTGAGTAGGCCCAGGCATGCAAGTCATCCCATTTCCCAAATTCGGCAGGGACATACCCTAGGGTCAAAACAGTCCAGAGATGACGCATTTTCTTGCCTTAGGATTTTGCCCTTAAACTGAAACTTGTAAACAGATGAAACACGTTTTCAAGCCAATGCGCATGCGTGCGCTCAGTTACACCATCCTGAAAA